AAGTGTCAAGTAAACGTTATATTCAAATTCTAATTGCAAGTATCCACGTTTCTAATTTAAATTGTTTATTCTGCTTGGATGTATTTATGGCAACTTTCAAGATTAACAGAATCCTATGAGTTTTACGGAGCAGACATCCAATGACAAAAACTGAAATTATTGTAAGCCCCACACAGAACCAGAGAGCCCACTGATGAAGAGTTGCAAGAAGTCTGCTTTGGCTTAAACGGTAAGGGAGGCCAAAGCCTCCCTATTGATGAAATCAAGGATAAGAGTTTGAAAGCAGGGTGCCATCCAGTATGAATCTGAAGCCTGGTCTACATCTAAAACTTACTAACAATAGCTGCTCCGCTCAGGAGTATGAAAACTTCACACCTCAGAGACGTAGTTAAGCTGACCTAAGCCCTGTGGTAGACACTGCTTCTTCCATTGACCTAGCTACCACCTCTCAAGGGGGTGGAATTACTACAGCAAGGGGGTGGAATTACTACCCTTCCATTGCTGTAGCAAGTATCTACACCACTGCAGCATAGAGAGCTTCAGTTGCGCACACTCTGAGTAACCTACTCTTGCAAAGTAGCCAGAAAACTCCTCTCCATGAGAAACCTTTTACTCTGCTTCACAGCTCAGATTCAGAATGCACTCATCGGGATTGCATGGATGCTCTGGAGAAAGAAGCTTTCCTCTGCACCATCGGAGCCACAGCATAAGTAGGGCCCTACCAAAGTCACAGCCATGAAAAACACATCACGGACTGTGAAATCTGGTTTCCCCCTGTGAAATCTGGTCTTTTATGTGCTTTCACCCTGTACTACACAGATTTCACGGGGAGACCAGCATTTCTCAAACTGGGAGGTCCTGACCCAAAAGGGAGTTGCAGGGGGGTCACAAGGTTATTTTAGGGGGGGGGTCGCAGTATTGCCACCCTTACTTCTGCGCTGCCTTCAGAGCTGGGCGGCTGGAGAGCTGCACCTGTTGGCAGGGCCGGCTCCAGCATTTCTGCCACCCCATGCAAAAACAAACAAACAAAAGCCGCAATCGCGATCGGCGGCGGCAGTTAGAGGGAAAAAAAAAAGCTGCGATTGACAGCGGCAGGTCCTTCGCTCCTAGAGGGAGTGAGGGACCTGCCGCCCCCGAATTGCCGCAGGTGCCGCCCCTCTCCCTTGGCTGCCCCAAGCACCTGCTTGTTAAGCTGGTGCCTGGAGCCGGCCCTGCCTGTTGGCCAGGCGCCCAGCTCTGAAGGCGTCCACCCTTATTTCTGTGCTGCTGCTGGCGGCAGCTCTGCCTTCAGAGCTGGGCTCCCGGCCAGCAGCCACCGCTCTCCAGCTGCCCAGCTCTGAAGGCAGCACCGCTACCAGAGGCAGCACAGAAGTAAGGGTAGCAGTACCGCAAGCCCCTCTACAATAACCTTGTGACACACACACACACACCACTCCTTTTTGGGTCAGGACCCTACAATTACAACACTGTGAAATTTCAGATTTAAATAGCTGAAATAATGAAATTTACGATTTTTAAAATCCCATGACTGTAAAATTGACCAAAATGGACCCTGAATTTGGTAGGGCCCTAAGCATATGACTTAGAACAGGGGTCCCCAATGCTGTGCCTGTGGGTGCCATGGCGCCCGCCAGGGCATCCATGTGCGACCGCCTACTGGCCGCCGGACAAGCAGCCGCCAAAATGCCGCCGAGAAGTGGCGACGTTAAGATGCGCTACCGCCTAAATGCCGTCGAATTTGGCGGCATTTCAGCAGCAACGCCTCTTGATGACGCTGCTTCACGGCGGCATTTCGGCGACTGCTTGTCCGGCGGCCATGTCCTCGGCGGCTAGTCGTCCGGCACCCGCCCCACGGGAAAGGTTGGGGACCACTGACTTAGAAGATTCTCTGTTCTGTAACAGGTCGTGTTCGGAACATGGCTTTCAGCAGACAGCCCTCTGGCTTCCTCTTTCCTTCACACGTCCTTTGTACAGACCATTTACATGCCAAGACTTCCTCTGAGGCTTGTGCAGAAGGAGCCTTCAGAATCTGGAGTTAAGACTTAAGAGCGACCATCTCAATAGCTGAAAACAAACTACAGTTACAACAACCGAACAGATCCATCAGTGGAGTGGGTTGTTGTCTGAATAGTATTTTTAGGCACAGAGCTTTGGGATCTGATTGAGACAGCCCACTGAGTATCAACTCTTCTGACTGGCTAAAGCAATTTCTAACAAATTTTAAGCCTTTATTAGTCCTTTTTATTATGGTTGCAAAAAACAAAACAAAAAACCCACCAACACCCACCCCAAAATACCCACACTCATCCTAAATGCAGTGTTGGCAACTTTCAAATTTGTAGCACCAGTCTTGCAATGTTTGGTGTTTTTCTGGAAGCCCTAGGCCCAGAGAGAGTATCAATGGGATCTTGGCTTCAAAGTGCCTAAAACAGTTAGGTGTTGTAATACTGAGCACAGCAACACCTTTAAAAATCTAGGCCCCAGTTCCTAAGGCAGGTGATTAGGGGAGAAACTTAGATTCTTAAAAAAAAAAGCCAAGAGGTTAATGCAGCCATGGTGCTACCCAAGTACAATGCTGGATGTTGTTTGCTGGCCTGGGGATGGAGATCATGGCCAGTGGGGATTATTGTTATGGCTAAACCACTCTTCCTCCTGTCTGAGGTCAGGGCTCACCTTTGTTCCTGCTGGTGGAGAAGGAGGAGCTTTCATTACATTGGCTGCACTGACAGTAAGGAAACTAGTTGCGTTTCAGAGCTATGTGGAGGTCAGACTGGGGAGGAAGGGGTGGTATGTCTCAAGCACAGCACTAAAGCCTGTATTAGCTGGATGTTTCTGCTAAACTGATAAGCAATGAAACAGTTATCCACTTTGACTTTAAGTGCTCATTATGGCTGGAGAGAAAAGCTTGAAAACATGAAGCAAGTACACCCTGAAGGTTCACACTAGACGGCAAATAAAAAGAATCCCAAACTTACTTTTTAAAAAAATCAAGATTTTTAAGCTAATATGATTTCTGAATCCTTGGAATTAACAGTACCAGACAGATAGAATGAAACAATAGCACAGGGGCCTGAATGCTGACCCCCTCTATAGAAGTGAGGCCCTCACCGTAGGGTGGGGAAGAGGCATGCTCTGTGAAGGGATTGTATTTGTGGCAGAACAGGCCAGTGCAAAGTGTGGGTTCCTGATGCTGATCGACAGATCTAAACTGACTGCTAGGAGAATGTGCAGGGATCCTACTTACCAAAGTCCAGGGTCTCCCTGTAGTAGCATTAGATAGGGTTCTTCATTCCACAAAGGTGCTGGGTTTGGAGCGGAGGAATCCTTTTCTCCCAATCCTTCTTGGATCCCTTGCATAAGTGGTTTTGTTCTCGGCGTGGGGAGTGTAGCATTAGCACTGACAGAAATGCTACCTATCATTTAAATGAGGTGTTACTGCTGCAGCGCTGCCTTCAGAGCTGGGCACCTACCAACAGCTGCTGCTCCAGCCGCCCAGCTCTGAAGTCAATGTAGAAGTAAGGGTGGCAATACCGTGACTACCTAAAATAACCTTGTGATGCCCCTGGAACTCCCTTTTGGGTCAGGACCCCCAATTTGAGACATGTTGGTTTCCTTGTAAAATCTGTGTAGTATAGGGTAAAAGCACACAAAAAAGACCAGATTTCACGGGGGGAGACCAGATTTCACAGTCTGTGAGGCGTTTTTTAAGGCCATGAATTTGGTAGAGCCCTACATATGAGAGACTAAAAAGACAGACTATTCAGCTTGGAAAAGAGATGACTAAGGGGGGCATGACAGAGGTCTATAAAATCGTGACTGATGTGGAGAAAGTAAGTGTTATTTACCCCTTCACAAGAACTGGGGGTCACCAATGAAATTAATAGGCAGCAGGATTAAAAAAAGGAAGTACTTCTTCACACAACACACAGTCAACCTGTGGAACTCATTGCCAGGGGATGCTCTGGAGGCCAAAAATTATATATAGTGGATTAAAAAAAGAATTAGATAAATTCATGGAGGACAGGTCCATCAACGGCTATTAGCCAAGATGGTCAGGGATGTAACCCATCCTCTGGGTGTCCCTAAGCCTCTGACTGTCAGAAGCTGGGAATGGATCACTCAGTAATGCCCTGTTCTGTTCATTCCCTCTGAAGAATTGACCACTGTCAGCAGACAGGATACTGGGCTAGATGGACCACTGGTCTGACCCAGTATAGCCGTTCTTATGTTCATTAAATTCTGACAAGTGTCTAGTTGTAATAATTGATACTGGATAGTGGTCTAGCATCTGCTCTGTAGTACTTAGAATAATTAAACACAGACATAAAACCTCACTGCAGTCTCTGCTATTAAATCTTTGCTAAGAAGTTGCATGAGATTTTTGAGAATTAGCATAGCAGTAAGACCTAAAAAGCAAACCCATCTGATCAAAGAAAAGTACAGTAATCACAAAACTGTTTTGGTGGCAGGCAAGAAACACAGATACACTAGGTTTAACTCAAGATACTACTGCATACTGTCTGTCCCTGCTTTACAAAATGGTTCTCCTCAATTTAATGCTTGAGGAGGGAGAGGAGAGAAGTGGAAAAGCGGGGGAGAGGAGAGAAGTGGAAAAGTGTAGTTAAATTACAGTATAGGCCCTGGATTCGGTGGGAACAGGAGTGAGTGCTTCAGAATAGAAACTAATTCCAGTTCTGGTTCTGTTCTCCAGGGCCATGATGATGACTGCCTGTGACTTATCTGCGATCGCTAAACCCTGGGAAGTGCAGAGTAAGGTCAGACGCCTGATACACAATGTACTCCAATATATTGAAACACGTTCTGTTGTTTGAAGCCTGCATGAAAGAGGCTTCTCCTTACTTATCCTGGCCAAGTTTCCAGTAATGCTGGTAGAAATGATATTTTTAGATTGAGGAGCCAAGACCTTTTAGCTTGATGTTATTTTATTAGCAATGATGTAAGAGCTGAAGCGTCAGGGCTTACTAACATCACCTCTTCCCTCCTAGTGTTTCCATAGAAGGTTTTTATGGAGTTGTATAAAGTTTAAGACATTTATATACAACTGGACAGTTGTTAACATTGGACTGTCGCAGTAATAGTTACTGTGCTGAATGTAAAAGTAGGTAAATAAATGTAAAAGCAAACGTATCTAGAGACCGCACCCAGTGCTATGAATCACCAGGACAGTTAGCATCACACAGAGGGGCAGCAGGGAAAACAGTGCTGGCAACTCTGACTTTATTGCCAGTCTCATAACATTCAGGGTTTTTCTTAAAGCCCCCGCTCTTGGAATCATGTGGCTGAGAATCTCCAGTAACTTTCACTTTAAAAAGCATTTAGTCCTCATTGTTACAGAAAGTTTAGAAATAAAAAACCCAACTGCACAAAACCATAAGACAAACTCCAACATTCGTATTTTAAAACCTCACTTTTTAAGGGTTGGGGAGGAAGAGTCGTGGAAGCTTCAGATTGGTAATACTGGGAAAGGGCAACTGTGTCTTGGGGAATGTGGCAAAGAATCCACTAATGCTGTGACTGTCTCCACCCTAAGCCTCATTGTAAAGTCCTGCTAAGGAGCAGCGGGGAGCTGTTCATTGACTGACATGAAGGAGCAGTAGACCGAAGTCTACTGCCAGAGTCACAGAGTTTGATTCTGCATTTCATAGCCCCAGGGTGATTCCACTGATCTCAGCCGTGCGATCCTGCTGTGAATTTGTTAACCAAGGGCTTGTCTACACAGCAAGCAAGGGTGTGAATCTACAGCACTACCACTCCCATGTGCAACAACATCCTACGTGGGACATTGCTACAGATCAATAGCAGTGTCCACATGGGACATTACTGTGTGGCAAGTTGGCATGCTGCAGATTCACACCCTGGTTTGCCATTCAGTAACTCATCGTGTAGACAAACTGAGTAGAGAATCAGATGCAGCGTGCTAAGAGGATCACTTGGCTGTAGTCTGGGATTTGACAGACAAGATTGCAGGGTAAAGGAGCAGGGACTGTAACTCTCCGCTTCATGGAGACAAACTATTTCAGATTAAAATCCCCGAACTGACTGTAGCTTTTATTCCAATGTAGGTAGCTCTCCTAGTAGCAGCTGAATTCTGGGAACAGGGAGACTTGGAAATAAGTGTACTCCAGCAGCAGCCTATTGTAAGTAGCACATGAGCTGCGGAAAGCTCAAGTTCATTCATTTCCTTCTAACAAACCTCTTCAGTGACAGCAATACATGAACAGGGCTGGAAGCTTTGACAACATGGGAGACTCTGGGGAAAAAACCAAAAAGCTACCCCTGTAATAGACAGGAAAGTTGAGATCAGTGACATACATGTCACAGGTTCTAAAATCTAGCTCTGCTAATGAATGTGCTTTTTTTTTTAAGTGAAATGTTTGTTTAGTTAATTTAAGGAACTTTAGGTTCCCCTTAGCATTTATTCAGAATACAAAGATCCTTCCATCTGGTACTATGGTGAGGGGCACAATAGAAAACAGTATCTAGGGACCGAAGTGGAGAAGAGAGACTGTAGCTTGCTAAAGAAAAATGATGAAAATCCCTAGCCCAATAATTTCATTGTTTGTGTGGGAGAAGGAAGCGGTCTGGAAAGGAAAGCTCTTGAGAATGATACAGCAGAAGCGTTAGGCTGATTGGCGACATCCCTCAAGGCAGAATAGTTCTAAAGGGAAAACAGACAGATGTGGCATTTAAGTGTTCTCCAAAGAAATCCTGTTCTCTTCCAGCCTATGATGGACAGGAAAAAAGCACCGGAGCTTCCAAAGCTTCAAGTCGGTTTCATTGACTTTGTGTGCACATTTGTCTATAAGGTAAGTGATTTGCACAGCAAAGAAGGAACGCTTGCTGATGCAGCAACAGTGACGCTTTTTAAAAACCACTTACGCTAGCAAAAATTAGATAAGCAAATTTCTCTCCGATCAGTGAGACTTGGCCAATACCTAGAAGGTTAATCAACAAGACACCCGCTCGTCTTTCCCCTGACCAAAGACACTGCAGGCCGTAAATTGGGAAACTGGGATAAGCCTACGCTGTAAGCAGGAAAACTCCCACCATTACAGTACCAACATGCACTAGGATTGTTACATACATTATTTAATACACCTTACGTTTTGCTACGTGGGATCACATCCTCTGCCCAGCAAAGCAGCTTCATCACACGGCAGTGCAGGGCAGCCTTGAACCCAGCTCAGAGGGCATCCAGAGCTATCGCTAGTGGAACGCAGAGCAGCCTCACAGTGCCCGACAACCCCAGGACCAGTCAATTGTATAGAGCCGTCTTTGCACCTCTAGTCATGAGCGGCACTGGGCACAGCAGATTCAAGCCAAGATTCCACATCCAACTACATATGGAGCAGTGGAGTAACGGGTGGGACGGGTACACAATTCCACTCCTGTTGAAATGTAAGGACACAGAGTGGGCTCAGGGTATCTCTTGAGGGGCTCACAGGATCTGGTCCAAGAGGTAACTATAGCTGAACCGCTCGGTAATGGTGACCCTACTGTAATTAAATGTAGCATCCTCGTAGGGCTACAGAAAACTCGCCGCAGTAACATTTAACTATAAAAACGGGAACTACGCAAAAGTGAGGGCGCTTGTTAGATGGAAATTAAAAGGAGCTCCCAGAAGGGTTAAATGCCTGCAAGCAGCATGGGGACTATTTAAAACATCATCTCAGACTAAAGATATACCCCAAATCATAAAGGACAAGAAGAGGAACAAAAGAATGCCACCATGGCTAAACAGCAGAGTAATAGAGGCCATTCGAGGCAAAAAGGCATCCTTTAATATTTGGGAGTGAATTCCTAGTGAGGGTAACTGGAAGGTGCACAAACTCTGGCAGGTTAAAGGTAATAAGGCAGGCCAAGAAAGAACTTGCTAAAGATGCAAGAACTAAGAGTAAGAATTCTTTCAAGTACATCAGCATCAAGAAGCTTGCCCAATAGGCAGTGGAGACCTTAGATGACAAAGGCGCTAAAGGAGCACTCAAGGAAGACAAGGCCATTGCAGAGAAGCTAAATGAATTCTTTGCATCGGTCCTTACTGCAAAAGGATATGGGGGAGATACTCACACCAGAGACATGCTTCCTGGGCGACAAAATGGAAGTACAGTCCCACATTGATATGTCCACAGAAGAGGTTTTCGAACAAATTAAACAGTAATAAGACACCAGGACCACATGGTATTCCCCCAAGAGTTCTGAAGGAACTCAGATATGAAATTGCAGAACTACTAACTGTAGTATGTAACCTACTACTGAAACAAACCTCTGTACCAGATGACTGGAGACTAGCTAACATAATGCTGATTCTTAGAAAGGGCTCCAGCAATTACAGACCAGTGAGCCTAATCTCATATAAACTATAGGGGAAGTTGCGGGAAGAGTCAACACAGCTTTTGTAAAAGGGAAGTTATGTCTCACCAATCTATCAGAATTCTCTGAGGGTGTCAATAAGCATGTGGACAAAGGAAAAAGATAGGAAACAAAGGGTACGAATAAATGGTCAATTTTCAAAAAGGAGAGGGGTAAATAGCAGGGTCCCCCCAAGGGTCTGTGGTGTTCAGTATATTCATTGATGATCTGGAAAAGAGGGTAAACAGTGAAGTGGCAAAGTTTCCTGACAATGCAAAATTATGCAAGGTAGTTAAGTCCAAAGATGACTGCAAGGAGCTAGAAGGGGATCTTGGGTGACTGGGCAACAAAATGGCAGATGAAATCAAGAGTGGTAAATGCAAAGCAACGCACATGGAAAAAATAATCCCATTACACATACAAAATTAGCTGTTACCACTCAAGAAAGAGACCTTAGAGTCATCGTGGCTAGTTCTTTGAAAACTTCGATCCAATGCACAGCTGCGGTAAAAAAAGCTAACAGTATGTTAGGAACTATTAGTAAAGGGACAGAAAATATCAAAATGCCACTATATAAATCCATGGTGCACCCACACCTTGAATACCGTGTCCCGTTCTGGTCACCCCATCTCTAAAAAGATATAATGGAACTAGAAAAGCTTCAGAGAAGGGCAAAAAAGACGATCAAGGGTATGGAGAGTACAAGCAGAGACTAAAGATTAAGGCTGTTCAGCTTAGAAAAGAGACAACTAAGAGGGGATATGATAGAGGTCTGTATAATCATGAATGGTGTGGATAAAATGAAGCATTATTTACCCTTTCCCACAGTACAAAAACCAGGAGTCACCCGGTGAAATTAATAGGCAGCAGATTTAATACAAACAAGATGAAGTACTTTTTAACCTAATGTACAGTTAACGTGTGGAACTCATTACCATGTGATTGCTAAAACTATAACTGGGTTCAAGAAAAAACTGGATAAATGAATAGAGGACAGGTCCATCAATGGCTATTAGCCAAGATGGTCAGGGATGTAACCCCAGGCTCCGGGTGTCCCTAGCCTCTGACTGCCAGAAGCCAGGAGGTAAAATTGTCCTGTTCTGTACACTCCCCCTGAAGCTCTGGGACTGGCCACTGTCGGCAGACAGGACACTGGGCTGGATGGACCATCGGTCTGACCTAGTCTGGCCGTTCTTATAAAAATCTTCTAAAGATCTGGGATGAAAACCAGGGAGGACAACTCTGCTCCTCTGGCACAATGGACCGTTCCACCCTAAGGGTGAAGGTTGTCTGTGCAGACGACAGAGCTTGCTTAGAGGCCAGCCCAAGACTATAGAATGAACTCCCCCCAGGAACAAAGGCCCATCACAAACCTCCCCACCTTCCACGCCGAGTGCATGGCACATTTCTTTGGCTCCTCAAACATATGGCAGCACGTGTCTATTATTTTTTAAAAAATCCAAGAGACTGCAGTGAACACACTTCTCCCCTGGGGGGCAGGATGAAAGAACAAACACACGACGGATGTTAGACACCGTTGCCTGAGGCACTGTCGGAAGGCCCTCAGATACTGTGGCGATGAGAACGTACATGGACTAGAATAGGAGTATGACACTGGAATACACCTTGGGGTTTTGCTAATGAACTTACACTAAGTAACAGCTATACATATGTGGCACACACCTGGCAGCATCTGATAAAAGTTCAGTAATACTTATTCGTATTACTCTGCCTACATTTGCCTTTGGTGCATCTGAGTCTCTGGTCACAGTGTGGGGGTTTCCAGCTCCCTTCTCAGTGTGGGCAGGGGTCCCAATGCTGTGGGGAGTACATGCCAGCTCTTCTTCTACTCCCCATCCCCACGGGGACCCTGGCCACCCCCAGGGAGAGGCACAGAAAGCCCCTTCACCATCCCCACTTGCTGCAGTTGTGTGTGTGTAAGGGTAATGTAAATGGGGTGGGTGTGACTTCCTCCTGTCCCCTTGCCTGAGGCTAGGTGTGGCCTCTCCCTCCATGCCCCTTCCAATCTTCCCCTCCTTCCTGTTATAAAGTAGGGAAGCGAAATCCCCAGAGAGGAGCAGATTTTTGATGGGAGAGAGAGAAATCTTTCTTTTCCCTACTGGCCCCTCTCTGCCTCCTAAAATACCAGCACTTCTGCCAGTTCAAACAGCAATTCTAAAACCCCATCAAACCCACAGGGATCTCCAATTCACTCTGCAGCAACCCCCTCCCCCCCACAATCCAGCCCCCATACCTCTTCATAGGACATGTGGTTCCTGCGCTTTTCCTGGCGCATCTGCCTTTCTGCTCCAGCTGCTGTCCTCCCGGGGGCATCAGTGGCAGGCTCTTCTGCTCTCAGAGGCCCACTAGGGCTGCTAGTGCCAAGAGTCCTGTATGAGAAGGGACCTCACATTCCTTATTTAAATAACAATCGCTTGCCCGCTACTAAGTCAGTACAGGATGTTTTTTATCCCATGTTTCAACCAGGACGGTCCAGCATGTCACTCTGACACGAAATCTAGGCTGGAGGGGTGCTCTGGCACTTTACTTTGCAACGTGCCAGGCTTTGGCAACGTGACCCGACACATGGGGTCACAACGCCACTCAGATTTAGCCCAGCCACCGCTGGCCCGTCCCTGGACGTTGCCCCCATTGAAATTGGAAGTGACACCCCTGCTGGCTGCTGTGTTTCTCCCCCTTCTGCCAACCCCACCCCCACCCCCGGCAGGGCACAGCTCTATAGTAAGTGGAGATGAGTAACTGCAGTCTCCCATTTCACTCCAGGAGGCACAGTGACTGCCTGGCCCGGTGCCTGGGGCTCTGGGTTCTCTGCAGCACCAGAGCTGGAGACAGCAGGAGCAGGCCCTGGGGAAGGGATGGGGAGGAGAAGTCAAGCCCGGGGACATTAGAAGGCTCTCCCATATTTCTGAAATACTGCATTGGCAGCCCTACCCAATGGTATGGGGGCAGCATCAGGACCCGCTTCGCTCCCTGGCGGGCATGGGAGAGAGGGAGAGGCCTACAGCAGCGGGCTCTGAGCCCCAGCCCTGAGGCAATGGGACAGAGGAAGAGAGAACTACTGCAGAGATGAAGGAGGAGGCTACCCCTCAGGCCTGACTGCATGTACCTCCTAGCAGGCCTGTCAGTATTCATCTGCCCCAGTGATTCCTCAGTTAGATTTGGTGTAGGAGCAACTCGATCTAGGACGGGGTCTCAAACATGCGGCCCAGGGGCCGCATGCAGCCCGCAGGGTTATTTTCTGCGGCCCGCGAGCTCCTCACGGCCCCCCCGCCCTCCCCCAGCGTTTACCTAGAGCGGCTCCGGCCTGATGCGCACCGGGGGCCGGGCAGGTTCCCTGCCTGCCTGCCCTGTTCCCGCGCCGCTCCGGGAAGCCGACGGAACCTGGGGAAGGAGGGGCACAGGGGTGTGTGTGGCTGTTGCTTCAGGCACCGCCCCCAGCAGCTCCCATTGGCTGCGAATGGGGAACCGCAGCCAATGGGAGCTGCTGGGGGCGGTGCCTGAGGCAACAGCCACACACATCCCTGCGCCCCTTCTTCCCCAGATTCCAGCCGCTTCCTGGAGCGGCGAGGGGGCGGGGCAGGGCAGGACAGGGCAGGGCAGATTCCCTGCCTGCCTGCCCTGCCCTGCCCCCGGTGCGCGTCAGGCTGGAGCCCACCCCCCGAACTCCTCCTGCAGCCGAACCCCCTGCCGCACCCCTCCTGCACCCCGACCCCTTGCCACACCCCATACCCCTCCTGCACCCCAACTCCCTGCCCTGAGCCCCCGCCACACCCCTCCTGCACCCCGAACCCCTGC